GGCCCGGCCCGCCCCGCCGGTGCGCCCGGCGGCGTTGCCATGGCAGCAGCGGGGCCCTCCCTCACCTTCCTGCAGCAACGGTCACCGCCGACGGTGGCCCCCGAGGACCAAAACTCCTCCCGGCCCCGCCCGCACCTTTTCCCTGCCCGCCGGCGCCCGGGCAGCGGCGGGCACGAGCGCGCTGGCGAGGCAGCACCGCCCCGTTGCCATGGAGACGGGCCGCCGCGCCGCCCCCCCCCCCGCTTTGTCCCCCATTTTGAGGCCCGAGGGCCCGTTAGGAGGAGTTTTCTTTTACCTTCGCGTTACACAGGTTCATTTAACCCTCGGAAATTAACGGGAAGCAGAACACGGCGGGGGGGGGCCCACAGCCACGAGCGCCCAGGAGAGGGGCAGCAGCGGGGCTGGCGGCTTTCCCTGCCCGCCTAAAAGCCTTTTGGTGCTGTTAAATTATGCACTTGTTCGGGAGCAGCCTGAGCAGCGGCGGTTTCTGTGTTGTATTATGCATGCTCTGGCTGGTGATGAGCAATCTGATCAGACCAAAAGCTAGCAGTGTCAAAATTTGAGCTTTTGTTAATGAAGATAGCGCCGCGACTCTGAAGAGACACCTCTCTGCATTAATCACGCATTGCTCCTAGAACTTCGATGTGAAAAAAAAAGGGAAAAGAAAAAACAAACCCAAACAGAACACTCTAAACGAACTCCCTTCCAGAAAAAAAAGCCACCAAAATGCACCCCGAGTTACCTCCTGGGCTCGGGGAGCTGGCGGAGGGGTCAGGCTCCTCAGCAGAGCTGTGGGGTAGAGATGGCACATCGCAGCCTCCTCCATGGATGACCAAACAGCCCCACCGGTGGTGGATGCTGTGCCCCTGGGATTAGCAGGCCCCACAACACGCTGCGTGACCACCAGACCCGCCGCGGAGCGCATGGAGGGCTCGCCACGGGGCAGAGGCCCTTCTGCGAAACGCTGGCTGTGGTGGCACCGGGCAGGGGCTGCCATTGCTGCAGCCCGTCAGGGCCTCACAGAGGACAGGGCTGTGCTGCCTGGCCTCAGGGAAGGGGTAGTGGTATTTGAACAGCTGGCTGAACACATGGGGAACTTCTGAAAGGCTCCCAATAAAAGGGGTTGTTGGTTTTGCCACCGGTTACCACAGAGAGCCACTGGCTCGACCCGGCTAGGTGTAGTTCAATGGGAAGCAAATACGCTCGCTCGTTAGAAAAAACAAATAAACCTCTTCCAAATGTCAGCTCACCGCAGCACCAGCACAAGATGGAGGTATAAACCTCCCGGTGTACAACACGCCTCCGCTCTGCAGTCCCCTTGGCCCGGGGAGGGCAGCTCCCGGCAAGGGGAAGTGGCCCGCGCTGCCAGCAGCCCTCTGGGGTGACCAAGGCTCATGCAGCATCGTGTGGTGCTTCCCAGCACCATCTTTTGGGGGGTGACCCTCCTCATCCCTCCCGCCAGCATGTGGGCCTGGGCCATGGCAGCATGGCCCCCCAGGGTGGAGGGAGGGAGGGGGTCGTCCTCGCTGGCAGCACTGACATGGCACCCATCACATTGTCCCCCACGCAGCCATGGCCCCCAGTTTTGAAGACACTGGCCCAGCAAAGTGAACGACGACAGTCTACAAATGCACCAGAAGGGCCACACACCTCAGAGGGCAACACGCCACCTGCACTAAAGGGTTAATGTTAATGAAAGGACATACAGACAGAAAACAGCCATGAATAAATTTAAGCCAGGGCATTGATAACTCTCAGAGTAATGCAGGTAGAGTTACCCTTTCACTCAAAGCCACACAGGGTAGAAAAGCTAAACCCCTTCAAGGTGGGCTTCAGGAGGTCTCTGAAGATATCTGTCATCATAGCTCACATGCCACTGAAGATACCTGTCATCATAGCTCATACGCCACAAGAGGAGGTTGGAATCCACGACCTTGGGGTTTCTGCTAATCCTACACCATACACTGAGAAAGAGGAATGGGTTTTGACATTGCTTTCAGTGAGTTGGAAGGGCTCCCTGATATTTACCTGAGATAACACTCCAGTGCCTGCCTGGCAATGGTTCCTGCTGAACCTGGAAAAACATCAACCACTGACCTCACCCACAGTCATGCAGTTATCTCGCTCTTGAAGGCAATATGCTGAACTTCTGATTTTCCACATTTCACAGACAGGTAGCTTTGACAAGTTCATAGCAGACTAAAATAAAGAGAACTGGGCACAATATCAAAGCTTTTTGCTCTGCTTTTATCATAAGACTATCCTTCATCTTACAAGCCAGTGCTACCCCTTTCATTCACAAGAGATGCTTTATTCGACTAACTACAAATCAGCGTGATTGTAAGACAAGGACTAGACCCCATTGTTGGAAGATCAAGCTCTGATGCTTCATAACGACAATTTAATGATATCTTAAGGTCAATCCAAATTCATGCCTGCATTCATTAACTCACATGTCACTAAATTTAGGTTTTCAGATGTTCCTGTCTGTGAGGGAGCTACAGAGCACAGTTCTGAAAAGCCACAATGGAAGCAACAGCTAAGCAATGCAGGTCTCCAAGGACAGGTCCCGACATGTTGGTTGCTCTTTTCTATGTCACTAATACATCAGACACTGTTTAGGGAACACCGATTCATGCAGCGCGAGTATGTTTGACAGAGAAAGGGTGCGTAACGCCTCCAGAGCAATGTTAAACAAGCACCTTAACACCGCTTGTATGTGGTGTAGGAAACAGCTGACACTGTCAAGAGTCGCTGGGAGCAGGATCCAGAGCTCCCAGTCTCCTGCCCCTTCCATAACAGAAGTCCCTCTTTCCTCCCCAGTACTTGGCTATGATCACACCAATAGTGAAGAAAATGAAATCACTTCTGCAGAGCCCTTCCCTTTCCCCAAAAGCACTGCCAGAGCAGCCGTCTGTTTCACATGCACACAGCCACAGCACCGTTGAGTGTAATCCTGCCATGCCTTGGCGGACTGTCCCAGCCAGCACTAGCCCAGGGGGAGAGCAGTGGGTGCTGCTCCTGAAATGGCAGCCTCTGGCAGCTCTTACTATTCCTCACTTTTTGGACAGAACAAGCCCAGCACCTGGCCTCTCCCCATAACAGTGACCCTAAAGCCCAGGAACTATACCACATCTTACCAGCATCATAGCAAGCCCGGTACAGGACACACAGATTCAGTAGTAACACTTACCTCCAGCAAACCCCAGCATCGAACGGAACAAAGAAACGGCCACAGCATCCCAGGCAGACGCCCCAGCCGTGTGTAGTATTTATCTCATCTCCATCAAACCGCACGGTGCGCTGTATCACCAACACAGGAATTCAGCTCCTTGACAGCAGCTGGGTGTCCCTTTTCAGATCTCTCAGCTGTACACCGTGTGGCAGGATGCAATGGGAGGAGCAAGGAGGATTGACACAGTTCACATGGACCTGCTTCACTCGCAGGCAAGAGCAGCCTCAGGGTTCTTGTCACAGCACCTTTCCCCAGCACCAGAGACGTGAAACACTTGAATCCACCTTAAAGGGTAACGCTATACCTGTATGAGCTACTGGCTACCTTGCTGTCAAATGCAAGCAGAGATTTTAATCCCCCCCACTGTCAAGCAGCTCATCCCTGCACAGCCGACTCTGGCGTTCACCCAGGGTAGGCAGACGAATGAAATCCAGAGCGAGCTTGACACGCTGACAGCCCTACCCCTCCTGCCTCAGCAATAAGGCTCTCAAGGAAACACATGTAAGAAAGCACCTCCCCTCCTCCTCAGACCACCTAATTTCTCTTGGTTTTGATGTTGTGCAGAGGGCTTGCTGGGCTACTACACACACCAAACTACATCAAACTGGCAGCAGATATTCAGAGACCACTTTCCCCTCCAACCCCAGTACCTGTACTATCAGGTACAAGCCATCTCTTATAGAAGCACAAGACTGGGAGAGCTTTCCAAGGCAGTCAAGCGTGGGTGTGCCACGGTAGGGAGTTTACAGCATTTCTTCCTTAAGGCCTCAATTTTGTAATTAGGTCAATGTAAATAAAAAGGTCCTCCTGCACAGCAAACCTACACCTGCTTTCCCTTACAGTCACCCTCAGTGAGACTGATGCATCCTGACCAGGGTTACCCTGCATCAGTGAGTCATCTTTGCCCTCACTGGACCAGTCTGCACTGGAACTAGAGTGGTATTTCTGAACTGCTCAGCAATTAACGATCCTCAATGCAAGACTCTTGCACAAAGTTCTGCAAACCTACACAAACTAGCCAACAACTATCAGCTGCTTGAAGACTTGCTTCTTTTCACATTTTGTCCTGTATTGTTTTTCCTCTTTGTAACAAAGACGCTCAAAACAACCTGCACAGCAGTGCTGTAGATCAGCAAGACATCAAAACACAAAACAAACACTGGCCACACAGGATATCTCAGAGTATTTTTATTTAACAAAAATAGCTATTAAATTAGAAACCAACAATGTCAACATGTTTACAGAATTTCATAGGCATCAGTAACTCTGCATACAGCTCCAGTCAGGCTCTATAGTCACCTCATCACCACAGCAACAGCACAGTGCAGGAACCTGAACAACATCCAGGTGTGGCTTCCATACATTAACAGGCCTGAAGATGTATGCAGTGTAGCATGCCTCTCTATTGCAGTTGCCACAGTTTCATTACTTTGGTAGAAAAATCATTGTTATTGCTGTCATTCTTTAATTTTTGACTTGCTTTTAAATAACTGGGTTGTTCTCTGTATGATAAATGTGATTAAAACTGAGCTGCTTCTTTCAGTCACTTGACATGAGTGCTGTACATCCACTGCTCATGCCTTGCTGCAACTGCCATCAGACCAAGGAACTCAAGGACAGGACATGCACTTGCCATCCCTTTTCCCAGGACAGCTCATCAGCTAGCACTTCATGGCTTCAAATTTTACTTTTTTTTAAAAACAAAAAAACAGTAAAGAAAGGAATATATAACATGGTGGTTTCAAGTTTCCATTTCAGGATAAGGCAGTTAAGTTTACATGTGTAAATGCCAGTACAGCTGAGCCCCTCTTAAGGGGGTTGGTTTAGGAGAGAGGCTGCAAATACAGAGGAGCTTTGGGGAGTGGGTTCCCCTGAGCAGCCAGCCTGGAAGGCCTCCCCAGACTGCACATCCCAAACACATTAATCATTCACCTTGCACGGTAAAGGCTGAGGCTCTCAGAACTGATGAGAAAGGCCATACCTGTCCCAGCCAAGGCAGAAACGCCTTCCCAACCCCGATGCTGTGAAGTCTCCATGGCACTAAAAGCAAGCAATGAACCAAAGCTGCTTCTTCAGGCTCTGACTGGAAGACTCTCTAACCAGCACAGAGAGAGAAGGCATGGAAGGAAGCAAGCTGCATTGCATCTTCTCCCTTGCCAGTTCTCCTGTACACTTAAATTCACCACAACCTGCACAGCAACAAGGACAGTTCATAGGCCATCTCCACAGTATACTACAGGTATCTGTTCCTGTGCTGGTCATGGTGCTTGAATATCCACGTGCCCAAGCCCAGGACAACTCTGTGCAACTCCTTCCCAGTGCTGAAGCAATTTGGAAAAAAATAAATTATTTTTAAAAACCACGTATAAGGCAAGCCCCAAATTGCTTAGACTTGACAAAATAAAAGAACTGCCCACTCCAAACATTCATTGTTCTGCTTAGGTGAAAAAAAAGAGGTAGAACTAGTGGACAGAGACCCACCAGAAGCATAAAGGCATTTTAAAATAAGGGGGAAAACTCACAGACCAGAAATCAGGATTTTTCAAAGCCTCAGGCAGTCATCCTGCTAACTACCATAACTGAAGGTACCTATTTAGTCACCAGAGTCATGATTCTCCAAGGTCACAAAGGATAGCTTAAAAATCCTGCAAGTCACCTTTCTTCTCAGTGCTATACTAACATCCACCATCCCACTGAAATAGCCCAGCCCCCAGGGTTGTGAGGCAGTGACTCCTGTAATCACAGGAATCTGCAGTCCTGAAGGACAAAGGCAAAGATGTCCAAGGGTCCTTTGGATTAGCATTTTGTCTACTTAAGTTTCCCCTCCACCTTTACAGTCCCTTGGGCACAGGCCTTCATGGCACAAGTAGCACTGTGGACAGGCAATTCACCAGTGTCACAAGTTGCCCCAGGACACAGTTAAGGTTTTGGGGAAGCACCATGATCCACTATGGTAAAACTCTGGCAGCAGGGGTGACAGACAGGAACAGCAGAAACCGTACAAGCAATTCAAGGAAGTACATGCATATGCAGCAACACAAGTGCACTAGTCCTCAAAAAGGAGCATCCAGCATCACGGGGCAGCCACTGCGAGAGTCACACTGCAGAGCACAGCCCTAAGGCCACCTCCTGAGCCAGGCCTGGGGCTCTCCACAGAGAGGTCTATCAGTGTGCCCTCACTTCTGCCCTGCAGCAGCACCTCAGTGACAGAGAGGGTAGCAGTTGAGTAGACAATCATGAAACTGCCTTTTCAATGGCAGCCTCCAGATGCACAGCCTTAGACTAAAACCTCCCAAGGCTTTTTTTGAGAAAACTTACTGTTCTTTGCTGCACATCCCATATATGCAACGGAAGAACAAAAGGCATTTTAGAAAGAAGGTATTTGTTCTTACTTACGTAAGAGCCAATACATTTACCTTCTAAAACGTGCTGCTAATATAGTATAAATACGGATCAAATAACCATTAAGGTGACTGCCTTGGGAAGAAAAGGCAGAGATTAAAAAATGGACCTATATCTTCATACGTAGCCACGAAGAGTCTTCACTTGGTGCACTACTGGCTTTCAGGAGATCTGCTTTGCATCTGCTCTTGTCTTCTGTAAGCTCGTATAATACTGTATATGCCACTGCCCAAGAACACCAGTGAGATGGCCGCAAAGTAAGATGCATAAATCATGAACTGCAGAGAAGGGGAAAGAAAATAAAAAGAGTGGTTAAACCAAGCAGTTACCAAATTTATAAGAAGGTTAATACATGAGCTTCCCTCCTCTTCCAAAATATCAGGAATCAGTGATTATTTCTCTGTCAAACTCTTGACCCAGCAACAGGTAGCTGAGAAGCTTTACAGATTGGTTTACCTTCCTCCCTCCCATCAGTAAAGCTAAGAGAGTCTGTCATACCTGGGTGAAGATGTCCAACCCAAGCCCACTGGCATCCACAACAATCAAAGTGAGCAGAGTCTGAAGTGCCAAGGCAATAAAAGTATTGACCCCAAACACCAGGGCGTACCGTTCCACACTGAGATTTGCAGCGATCTGGAACCTGGAAAGAAAGGGATGACCAGAAACATAAGGACAGGGAAAAAGCAGGGAAATGCAAGAATAGGAGGAATTCTCTGGACAAGAAGACTGTGCAACCTGAAATGTTAGATAGACTGGTCCAGTATTTTCCACAGCTAAGTTACCTTGCACTGATAGTGTACTTTTCTAAATAGGATCATGACAGACTAGCATAGAAGCTAGGAGAGACCCACAGACCCACATAAAAAGCTTAAAAAAAACCCCAAAACACAAAAAACCCACTGTGGGAGCTCTGTGGGTTTCAGTCTTACTGAAGCAGCCCTCCTGTCCAATGTAGCTAAAGGGTCTTGTCACAGAGAGAAGATATAACATGCTCTGATCCCAGGGAGCTGTTGACAATCTCAAAGCGTCAGCCAACTGCAGTGTGGTCCATAACCTGCCACATCCTTCTAACCAGATCCTTCTAATTCCTTTTGCAGTTACCAGTTTCAGCATCACCTCTCACACTGTGCTTGAGCTGTCCTATAGCAATTATGCACATGTGGTTCAACAACAGCTGTGTCTTCCTCCCCAAAGTGACAAATAACATGGAAGAAGTTTTCCTCCTTGCTGGTTAGGGAAAGTTGACACTTCAACACAGGCAAAGCATTGTCGTCTCCTCATCTGTTAACATTTCACTCTAGCCGTGTTCATGAAAAACATTCCTGTGGCAAGCAGCTCTATCTAATATTAGAAGTAGTCACTTTACTGTCATAAGACTTTTAAGCTTGGGCAGACTGCCAGCCAAATATATCTCTGTGCCTCAGTTTCCAACCTGAATCACAACACAAACCCTTGCAACAGATTTTGAAATTCCTGGTAGGCAAGACTCTAGTTACAAGGAAAACATGCCAGCTCTCATACCAGCTATAACCTTGAGAGCACTCTACGACAAAAAGATACTCACGTTGCTATCGTGATTAGCAGCATGTAGATAATTCTGAAGACAACGTAGGATGCATAGCACACCCAGATGTTACGAACAGTGTCCATGATATATACAGCAGCAGCGATAAGAAAGGAGAACAGGGCAAGTGCCACTTCACCCCACATTGCCCAGGATGTTTTTATGTGACCCACAACAAACACTGCAACAGCTCCTGTGAGGGGAAGGAAAGCATAACTGTTAGTAATGGCAGTTGGAGCAATTTGGAGACTGTGTATTAGGAGCTGTACAGACCCTAATAGCCAAACACGATTGAAGTAGAGGACACTAATGTGCAGACCTTAGCAACTCTCCTTCCTGACCTCTCCCTCACCTGGAACCCTGCTGTAAATTCTCATTCACTTTTACAGGAACAGAAAAAAAAAAAAAAAAGGTCAATACTGACTGCCTCTGAAGTCTCCTCTCGGGCTTCAGAGGCACAACAGTCCCAGTACTCAGGCCACTGCCACTCAGTCCTCCACACCTGAGTGTAGCAGTGCTGTCAGTTGGGCTACACAGAAATGCAAACCCTGGCTCTCAAAAGCACTCAGCTAATTATTTCGTGGCACTTTAGTGGGGATAGGAGGGAGAAAGACACTACCCACTTTGATACACAGCTGTTAGAGCTCTCTCCCAGGAGGCAGAAAAACCTACATTTACTGTCATCTTCATGCTGGGCTGTAAGAGCAAGAAAGAGCAGGGGTCCAAATCCACATCTCCTGGGATGCAGCTTGCAATCAGGCAAGCTACAATCACACACTGTTGATTATGCAAGAACAATCTTTTACAACCAGAACAGGTTCGTAACTCCTGCTGGATTTTACAAAGGGGGGATGGGGAGAGAAGACAGATCACAAGATGGAAAGTGTGTGATGTTTCATGCAACTCAACAAGCAGACAAGGTGTGTTTCTTGCACTATCACAGCTGTAACTACTGAGAAGCCCAAATACATATTACATTACAAGAAAATTCCCATTTGAAGTAGGCCTTGTTCTGCAAACAAGCCAAATAGCAACCATCAGCATAAGAACGCTGCTGTACACAGCACACTAGACAAATAGCATACTGACAAAGGGAGATTTACTGGAGATCTCTGAAAAAGAGGACTGTATTCAGCATTTGACCACTGTACAGAAGTGCTACAGTGCAGCATCTAAGCTCTTTGTAACGCTTAGCTGGCCCTCTCTTAGAAATCCTTCAAGCACCCGAAGACTCCTTATGCACCATCAGTGTGTACAAGCCTGCAACCCTGTCAGACCTCACATCAATCTTTCAGACTAGTGAAGAAGGTAGCTATGCCAAGGGAAAGGAATTTATTTCCCCCCACTAAACTCTTCTTTCCAGAGACTGCTGTGACACTACCTGACTGACATTTTGCTCTTTGAAAGTCTGACTCCCCCAATAGCAAAACCCTGAGATGCAAAAAGAAGCTAAGTCCTAGAACCTTCTTTCTACTGTCTCAGAAATTCTAAATTTGGAAACAGACATGACTTTCTGGGGATCTCATGGCAACTCTTGAGGTTGTACTCCCTCTATGTCTCAAAGTTATATCAGCCTGACACCTAATTATGACAATATAAAAAAAAAAACAAAACAATCTGTGTCCTGCAATTGGACATCTACAGCTGATCCAGTGGTTTCACAAAATACCTGATAAAGGATTGCCACATTCCCAAAATGGTGCAGGGATGCAGCTTAACAGTCAGTTGACCTCACCAGAAGGAATACTATTTATCTTGCCCAGGACAGGAAGCTGACAGCCACATGAGCCACCACGCTCAACTTAAACCCTTCTGCAGGGCAGCGCAGGTGCAGGCAGGGATGGCAACAGCATCTTACACAAAGGTTGCCAAACATTGCTCATAACTGAGCACAGAATGACTAAGAGCCATGGAAATGGCAAATCAGATCTGGGATGCACCAGGAAAGGCATTTCTACTAAAGGGAAAAGAGCGAACAGTATGTTCTTCTACAAGTCTGAGGCTTCACTGAATAAAGTTGAGTGCAGCTCCAGTCATCCACCTTCAAAAAGGACACAACTCAAAACAGGTTTGGTGCAAAGAGAGGCTAGTAAGATGACACGGTGAACAAAGAGCTTAACTTTACCAAAGACCAACTAGAAAAACTTGGCTTCTCTGGCCCAGAGCAAAGATTTTGTGCTAAAATACAACCTTGGCATGACATCAGAGACAAACTGCTCATTAATAAATTCAAACTGGAAATGAGAAGAAGTTAGTGCATTCACACTAGTGCCTAGGAAGTCAGGTCACTGGACGCTCACCCTTAACAGGTCCCTTCCAGTCGTGTTATACTCTTCAAGCTTTTAGTTGAGATTATTACTTCACTAAACTTCACTTGTTCGAAGCAATGAATCTGTGTCAACCAGAAGGATTTTTTTGGTTCTGTCTTTTGAGCAGTTCAGGGACAGAGGCTAATTTGCTTTCAGAAAACATCACCCAAAATGATTCAACCATTTACAAAAATGATACTAGAGGAAAAAATCAAAATGTGAAACTAAAAACTTCAGTTTTACATGAGTTTAGCGCCAACCACCTTTTCTTTCAATAGGTCAATTGTTCACAGGCCTTTAAAAAAAAAAAAAGGGACCTTGTTATCAAAGATATTAATAATAAGTTTGAAGAATACTCTTTTTTTTTCTTCTTTTTTTTTCTCCCCCCCCTTTTTTTTTATTTTTAATCTGCTGACATTTGGCCATGCTATGGGTCTTCCTTCCCTTGATACTGATTCTTCTCTTTCCTGGGACCAAGGCAGGATGGTAGAGGAAGCCAAATCAAACAAGAAATAAGAGCCACAGCATCACACTAGCATGGAAGAACAGTGTATGACTACATGTTATTAAAGTGTAGGTTTAGCACACCAAAGACAATTTAATAGCCAAAGCCTTCAGAATCAAGCTGCTGACAGTTTCAAACCCAACTAACAATGGGTAGCAGACCAGATTTTAGAACTATAAAACAGCCACAGCTTCCCACTGAACTCCAAGAGGGGCCTGAGCATGCCCAAGAAAGTACTAAGCCTTCCTTGTTTGTGTCCCTTGGTTTCTTTTGCCCCCAAGTAGGTGATGTCCACAGCAAATGGTAGAACGATGACTCCATCAAAGAAAAGGAACGTACTGCAGCAACACCTAGAAAGCCTCTGTAAGGGTACATTAGCTATATTAAAAAGGTACTGCCCTAAATCTGGTAATGGAACACTATTAAACAACTTAATAAACAAATATTTGTGTTGACTGACCTACCTGTCCCTTTCAAGTCAAGCAACTTCTTTCATCTTAATAGCTTTTCTGCTTAACAGTGCTGAAATGACTAAATGTGGCGCTCTGCATGCTGCATGTGTACAGGAAACCTTCGTATGTTCCCTACACTGCCAGAGAAGAAAAGCAATAAACCCATAGGACCCTTAGTCTGACTTCAAGTGGTTAAAACAAACATAACCCCACTGCCACAGTGACAATCAAGAACACACAGTCAGGCACATGCCTGGAGCCTTTTGCCAAATACTTCAGAATGAAGTTTGACTTGGGAGGCTCCTTTAAACACCTGCGTACTGGATTACAAGAATTAGGGCTGCATGCAACAACTAACTCAACACTGAGCACCGTACCTGTGCACATCAGGGAAGACTCACCCCGAATGCCAGGGCTGCCTCTCCTGCATGCTTGGGGGAATGCAAGACCCTTCCAAACCATGCTCTGGTGACCTTGAGGGACACAAGGGATTTCTCACAGCAGAGGCAGGAGCTACACCAGAAGCTCACCTAGCAGCGTCGAGGCTGCCTCCACAGCACCATTGTAGATCTCCGTACTATGAGAAGGCAGCACCATCTCCCACAGGCCCTGAGCGTAGTTGATGACCTGAAAGTAGCCACAGGTGGACAGTGCCCACCACACGGACCAGCAGAGCATGGTCCGGGAGGAGTAGCACTGTAGGAAGTCCTGCCAGAGATCTTTGAGCACCTTTACGATGTCTACTTTCTGCTCCTGCAAAGATTGAAAAAGGAAGGGGAGAGAAATGTTAGTATTTGTTTATAAAAACTTCACACTGCTCCAGCAAATTGCTCCTTTCAAGCAGTCTGATCACTGGTGAGTGACAGTACCACTCTCGGACACAAACCTCCACAGAATAATGAATAAAAAGCTTCCCCATTCCGTGGTCTCAGCAGCTGGTCTCTGCCCTAACAAGGGTTGTCCCCTTACCTGCAGAGGAAGGGTTCAGTCCCCAGCACGCCTCAACCTCTGGCTCTCTCAAGCAGAGAGCAGTAACTGCTAGTTGTTAGAAGTACCACGTGAGCAACTGAAGGGTACCAGAGAGAAGAAACACAGGAGAACAGGACATGATATCCACTTTGACAAGACAGGATCAGAAGGCAGTCATTCAAATCATAAAGGCAAAAAGCATCACTTTTAAGTCCTGATCCAAATTCAACCAAATTTGGTAGCACAGAGAACATGAAAGCCACCAGATGAGTGTATTTCCCCACAAGTAAGTTGATTTTCTTTAGTACTAGCATTCAGGGATTATAAATATTCAAAGAAGCAATCTCATTACACCACGCTCTACCCTGTTAATGTTCACCAAGGCTCTGAGGAGGTGAGAGATGTTGCCTGGGGATCTGAAGAGAAACAGAAGCTACTTCCGCCAGACACGGCTATCGCAAATAGCAGCTCCTGTATACGCAAGTGCTCTGACAAATGGCATGAGAGAAAAATGAAGCTTTCCCCTCCAAGTCTTTCTAGAAAGAGCACAAAAGAGGTCAGACCCATGAAGTGGTTTGAAAAAAATTTGAAAATAGATCAGTTCTAGCAACAGTTCTAACAAACGAAAATTGCTTTTTACATACAGGTTGTTACAGTTCTTTTCCTAACCACCTTATGCCAACCACAGCAGAGGAAACAAGCATGTCTTTGCTTTGTAGACAGAGCTGCTGATTCCATTTGCTGCATGCACACATGTACAGAGTCTTTGTAGACAGGCAAGACCCTTCTTGTGCAAGTCAGAGCAGCAGTTACTTCATGTGAGACTGGGCAGAGCCCCCAGGGCCCACCCAGCATCTCTAGCCCCCATGAACTTGGATTCCCTGCAGGGAAACATACAGGACTGTCACAGGACTAAGCTAGTGCACATTGTGCTGTCACATGCCCAGTTTTGGAGCAATTTCCAGGCAGCAACAGCACTTTTAGCCTCTTGGCAGTACACCCTTTCCCAGAGGGAACTGTGCAGTGTATGCCTGGGAAAGATTATTCTCCATGAGCAATAAAACTCATTTTAAGGTGTTTCTACTAAAACCCCCAAAGACCATGGCCTAACTCTGACCTGAACTCCCCTTTTTCCACCCCTCAAAGTGTCACTGATTTCTAAGCACCTTTATTAAACACACACAGTCCCGTTGGTGCTTTGCCAATAGCAAAACGCTTGCTCTGCATGTGGATGCTGTGCCTCCAAAGCCCGACAGAACAACTTGGGAAGAGGTCAGCTTGTGGCCATGTGACTTTAGGAATGCAACTACCACACAGAAGGTTTTGCTGGAACCTCAAGTTCAGGTGCAGGAAAAATAGGGAAGGGAACTATCATGTATGCTACAAAAACTGATTTGGCACATTCAACTCAAGCATGTGCCTGATAAGCCAGAAAGGCTTATCTACCCTCCCACCACCTGGCAGTGCTTCTTCAGTACCATTATTCGTACAGCCATTCATTTACATTTGTGCAATATGGTTGCAGTTACCTTAGTAAGAAGGACTACCACCACGTGCCGATGCTTCTCAACTTTTAGCACCTGGTATAACTGAACTCTAGAGAGTTATGCAAGCGTACCTGCTTTTTTTTTAAATTTTCACCATTAGTTTGGAACCACCCTTGCTCTCACAGGATGGGAGTAAGATAAACAAAAGGGATGGATAAGTTATATTAATACCTTAGTCATTATTGGCACAGAATTTGTCTTGTTTAAGAAATACCCTTCAGCATGCAAGCATAACATGGTTAAAAATACTTTTGCTCACACAAGATTGTGCTGGATGGGGCAGGATTAGGTCCCTGGAATGTTAATACCTTTAATTCGCAGCTGTAGCTGGAAGAAGCTGAAAGCAGCCCTGGACGCTGCCTCTCCAGACCCAGCTAACCGGGGCTTACTTGCTAACTGAAATACCCATTAGCTGACTAAACCAACAGCCGCACTTACCTACTGGCTTGTTTTCAGAACGAGCACAACCTCGACACTGACCTCCCCACAGGGCCCTGAATCCCCCAGCCGTGACAGGCTCTCCGTAGGCGTGCATTGCCCGGAGCAGCGTGGCAGAGACCTGCCCAGCAGGCAACTACGCACACACATCAGGCCTCAAAACCAGAGGGGTGACCCAACACATCCTGCCACCAACAAGGGCACCTGCATGCTTGTTTCCATACAAGTGACTTTGTTAGAGGTTACGTAGCCCACAAGAGCCACAAGTCAGGGCACCACCTTGGTGCTCTCATGGGCTGCATTAGGCTGTTATTATGCAGACGTGTTTCCTGCAATTTATCTGTATTCTGTCCAGCTATAACTAATCAACATCAGCCTGTAAGTGCTCTCAAGGATGTCCTGATGTTGGCTGGGATAAAGTTAATTTTCTTTCTAGTAGCTGGTGTAATGTTTTGGGTTCAGTATGAGAAGACTGTTGATAACACACTGATGTTTTCAGTTGTTGCTAAGTAGCATTTAGACTAAAACAAGGATTTTTCAGCTTCTCATGCCCAGCCAGCAAGAAGGCTGGAGGGGCACAAGAAGTTGGGAGGGGACACAGCCAGGGCAGCTGACCCAAACTGGCCAAAGGAATATGTTATACCATGAGATGTCATGCCCGGTATTTATATACTGGGAGGAGTTGCCCTGGGGGGGGATTGCCGCTTGGGGACTAACTGGTCATCGGTCAGCAAGTGGTGAGCAATTACATTGTGCATCACTTATTTTGTATATTCCAACCCTTTTATTAATATTATTGTCATTTTATTGTTGTTATTATCATTATTAGTTTCTTCCTTTCTGTTTTATTAAACCGTTCTTATCTCAACCCACAAGCTTTACTTTTTTTTTTTTTTTTTTCCCCCAGATTCTCTCCCCCATCCCACTGGGTGATGTGGGATGTGAATGAGTGAGCAGCTGTGTGGTGCTTAGTTACCAGCTGTGGTTAAACTACAACGAAGGACTACTGCAGTTTCCTTCCAGGATCATAAGATAAAACACTATTACTACACAGCTTACTGCTGCACAGCTTACGTAACAGTTGAAGCAACAAGTTTTTTTCAAAGCGTGAGTGCAGGAAGATTTTCCTCTTTTCTGCGAGTCACAGGGTGCATTCCAGAAGCACGCACAAAATTTGGATACATACACAATTTTTAGTACCCCAGAGATGTCCCTTGCTTTCTACTGTTGAATGGCAATTTGATGCCCAGAGAATTTTAATCACAGCCTTGCGAGACACGCAGAACAACTTCAGAAAAAACTAAGGAGCAGCCTGCCATGCTCAATCAGCAAAAGGAAGCCAGGAATAAATTTTCCTGTGCCATAAATAAGGAAGCTGGATAAGCAAAGAGATACTTTTTGCTGTTGGAAATTACACCTCTACTGCTGTGTACATATATGCACACATACATATATACACATACACATGCATGACATCCACATCAGTATTGCGTTCTCTACTTACGTAAACCCAGGGCACAACTCACCTGTTTCTCTGCTGAATGACCCTCCTCATTTAAGGGAACTTTTGTCTCATCTTCCCAGCCAGGTGTCCTCTGGACATTGGGATGATCTTGGACAGCCGACCCATTTTTACAGTCCATGACCTTCATTTCCCAACTGAGCTGCTGACTCGAGACGTGGTGAAAGAAGAAGCTTTTTTGTGGCATTGGCAGGAACCAGGCTGTGCCGAAGGCAACGGAGATGCTGGTTAAGGAGATAACGTTCAAGCGGAAGAGGGACCACCCTGCCACCGACACAAGGACCTGCCCGGACACCGAGCCCACCGTGTAGCCCACCAGCGTGGCGCTCCGGCAGTAGCTGGTGACCTGCTGGTACAGGTTGACATCAACGACGCTGTAGATGTAGGAGTAATAGGCGATGTCGGTGGCGGTCCCCATCCCGTAGAAGAACTCGAGGAACTGGATGGCCCAGAGCCCCTGGGCGTACAGCAGCATGAACCAGGTGATGATGAGGCTCAGGCCCTGCAGCAGGACCACGGGCTTGTACCGCAGGTAGTCTGTGGCCAGGAACACCGGGAACAGCAGTGCCAGGTAGGAGTAAGTCCACACGGGGTAAATCTCGTTGAACACCTAGGTGGGGGGGAAAGACGGCGGTGACCCCCAGCACCCACGTACTGCAAGGAAACCGCAACCCCCCAGGCGGGGGTGCGAGGTGCCCGGGGCCGCGGTACCTGGGTCTCGGAGAGGTTTTTGTACGGCCCCAGCAGGTACCGGGTGAGGAAGGGCTCCGAGGGCCGCACGCTGCAGAAGAAGCCGTAAACGCAGAGCAGCCCCGTGGGCAGCGCCCAGCAGCATCTGTCCCCGCCGCCGCCAGCCCGGGC